ACAGACATGGCAGACTTGAACTGGCTGATGCTGCGCATGACTCTCGGTGTAGCCGCTGACGCCCCTCACAAAGCCTGGCACTTCTGCAGTAGCCACAAGCACAGAGTGATGGAATCCCATCATCTTGTAGGCCTGGGATGACAAGCCGTTGTTCCAGAACTTTCGCATGAAAAAGAATACCACATTTCTGGAGCTTTGTGAGCAGCTTGCCCCAACCTCCAGCATCATGACACATCAATGAGGCTGGCCTTCCTAGTCCAGAAGCAGGTTGCTATAACCACCTGGAAGCTGGCTACCCCAGACTACTACAGGTCAGTTGCTAACCAGTTTGGTGTTGGAAAGTCAACTGTGGGAAAAGCGGGGGCAGAAGTTTCTGAGGCAAGCAGGCGTGTGAGTTACTCAAAGACAGTAGGCATAACCAATAGCCCTGAAGTAATTGCTGGTTTTGAGAATGGGTTTTCTAGACCATGCCAAGGCCATTGATGGGACTCATGTTCATAGTTTGCCTCCCTCAAGGAGCACATGAGTTCATAAACTGCAAAAGATACTACTCTATTGTTACGCAGGCCCTTGTGGCCCATAATCACTGACCTGTGGATGCCAACGTGGGCTGTATTGGAACAGTTCCTGATGCCGGAGTTTTCTGCTGATCGGGAGTCTACCTTCATTGTCATGCCAAGACACTATTCCCACCAAATGACATTGTCATAAATAGAGTATCAGTCCCCACTATTATTCTAGGGGAACCCACCTACCTCCTTTTTGCTTGGCTTATGAAACTGTATCCTGATCTCAGAGACCCTGGCAAAAGAAGGATTTATTACACTCTCCGTAGGCATAGAATAGTCATTGAATTTCCATTTGGCAGACTGAAAACCCGCTGGTGCTGCTTACAGACCTGTTTGGATTCCAGTGGCATCCATGACGTCCGCATTATTATGGCTAGCTGTGCTCTTCCCAATCTTTGTGAAACCAAAGAGGAGCCATTTGCCGCTGAATGGACCTCTGACAGTAATAGGTGGCAGACTCAGTACACTCAGCCAGAAAATGTCCCACCACAGCTGGAGCAGGATGCCTCCAGGCCACAGAACCCAGGGATGCTTTGTGCTCCCACATCATGGACTTCCATGGGCCCAGGGAAAAGGGAGACTAACATGTTTATGGATGTATTTGTACAGCAATAACAACAGTAAATGAAGTACTGTCACTGTACACCATGAATGGCACCCACCCCAGAGCCCGCTCTCAGCTGGAGGCCCCTGCCCCAACCCGGAGCCCCCTCCTGCACCCTGAACTCCTCATTTCTGGCACCACCCCAGAGCCCACACCCCCAGTTGGGGCCCTCACCTCCCTCCCGCACCCCAACCCCCACTTTTGTGAGCATTTATGGCCCACCATACAATTTCCATACCCAGATGTGGCCCTCAGGCCAAAAAGTTTGCCCACCCCTGGTCTTGAACCAACCTGAGGGTGATGCTGCTACAGGAGGTGCCAAAGGATTCAGAAGGAAAGGAAGACATTAGTCTTGTTCATCTAAAGAGCCTATACAGCCTGGTTGCCAACTCTTTTACTCTGCAACGCGAGGGTTTTTTAAAAATATTTTTATTTTTATTTTTTTAAACGAGTAAGAAAGGGGAAGTCACTAGTAGGGAAAAGGCTAATTAGCAATAAATAAGCATAGCCTTCAGGTGGTTAGTCTGGGTCATAAATGGAGAGTTTAAAATTATCTGTCTAGTTTTTGAGAGCAATTCTAACAAGAATGAGTAAAAATAGTCTACTTGAAACAGCTATGTTAGCTATTATTATATGACATGATTATCTCTGATTGCTTCAGTGTTGAAATGGAAAAGACTCACTAATGTTTATCATTTTTATTACTGGTTTGTTTATGGTGGCACTCACTAGATGAGAGGCGCTTTCCAGCCACTCATGATGGGACAGTCCCTGCCCCAAGGTGCTCACGGCCTCGGGACTGACAGAGATTAGGGGAAAGGGCAGAACACATATGGCTTTTTTATACAGGGCAAGTAGAAGAGGGTCTTCAAAAGAGACTTAGTTGTGGCCAGGGCCGAGTGCAGGCTGTGTGGAAGAAGACTGGATGTGATTCCATGAGAAACTGATAAACCAGGAAGCATGTTTGGGAATGGGGAGAGGCAACATGAAGCTTGACAAAGAGGAAGGGACACAGGTTTGAATGTGGTGACAGGATAGTAACATTTGTTGCGCTAGTGGATGGGGCACCGGTTTGAAGAAGGAAGCGACATGAATCAATGGGCAAGGAAGGCAGCTTTAGCTGCTGCACTGATTTCTCATTATTAATCATTTTTCCTTCCTGTGCATCATCTTTATTCTGTCATACTAATAGACTGTCCATCTGACAGAAATGCTCCTGCATCCAGGCCATTAAACTGTGTCTAAGGCTTGGACAAATGGGTACTACTGGTCATCAAACACTGGCACCAAACTACAAGTTTAAGACTAGGCAATTGGTAACAAAGCAAGTAGTTTGCCGAAATACACACTGCTCCTCCCCTCCCAGCATATCCCCCCCAGCCCCTCCCCCACACCTCCAGTCCTGGGCAGTCCAGGCTCGCCTTCCCTCCACAGACTGGCATCAAACCTTTGTGGCTTGGTACCACCTCCCCCGCCCCCCGGCTCAATGCCTTATCCTAGCCCTGCAGCCCCAGCACCCGTATCCCACTGTCGTCACCTGGCACCACTCTTCCCACCCACCCCCAGCTTGGCATCATGCAGTCTTCCTCTTCCACTCTGCGTCCCTTTCTTCCCCCAGCCTGGCACCATGATGCCGCCACCGGACACCTATCCTCACCCCCAGTGGCCTAGCCCCATGCCCTTCTCCTGGCCTGACACTGTGCGACCACCCCTTCGTCCACCTCCCCCAGTCTCCCCCCAGCTTAGCACTGCCCCACTCCCTTCCCCATCATCTTGGCACAATGTTTCCACCCTCCATTTCACAGTGCTACCCCTTCCTCCCCAGCTTGAATCCCCCCTTCCAACTTGACCCGACGATGTCCCCGTTCCTTGCCTGTCCCTGTGCTGCGGCCGGGCGGACCCCACTGCGCCCGGGTTCCCTTCGGAACGGCGCTCGCCTATCTCTTCGGACCGACTGACCCATGTTCAACTGCTGTTCACATGGAACCCTTCCTCTGTCCTCTCCCCTACTCTGTCCTGGAATGTGCTGCCTCGGCTCCCAGTCTCACATCTATTTCCCACCCGCCTAGCACAGTACCAGGCCATACTGGGTCAGACCACAGGTCCATCGAGCCCCGTATCCTGTCTCCTGACAGCGGCCAATGCCAGGTGCCCCAGCGGGAATGAACAGAACAGGTACCCAACAAGTGATCCACCCCCTCGCCCATTCCCAGCGCCTGGCACACAGAGGTTAGGGACACCATGCTCCCCTTGACATTCCCCAATACTGACGCTGTGCACTCTGCCTCCCTCCCACCCCTGACACTGTGCCATCCCTCTCCCCTTCCCAAGCCTGGCAGCCACCCCTCAGCGTGGCACTCCCCGCTCCTCCCCCTGGGCATGCACCCTGCTAGCCTGACACTCAGACATTCCTATCCCTGCCCCCAAGCCTGGAACCCACCCCTCAGCCTGGCACCCACCCCTCCTCCCCCTGGGCACGCACCCTGCTAGCCTGACACTCAGACATTCCTATCCCTGCCCCCAAGCCTCGCACCCACCCCTCAGCCTGGCACCCACCCCTCCTCCCCCTGTGCATGCACCCTGCTAGCCTGACACTCAGACATTCCTATACCTGACCCCAAGCCTGGCACCCACCCCTCAGCCTGGCACCCACCCCTCCTCCCCCTGGGCACGCACCCTGCTAGCCTGACACTCAGACATTCCTATCCCTGCCCCCAAGCCTGGCACCCACCCCTCAGCCTGGCACCCACCCCTCCTCCTCCTGGGCTCACACCCTGCTAGCCTGACACTCAGACATTCCTATCCCTGCCCCCAAGCCTGGCACCCACCCCTCAGCCTGGCACCCACCCCCTCCTCCCCCTGTGCATGCACCCTGCTAGCCTGACACTCAGACATTCCTATCCCTGCCCCCAAGCCTGGCACCCACCCCTCAGCCTGGCACCCACCCCTCCTCCTCCTGGGCTCGCACCCTGCTAGCCTGACACTCAGACATTCCTATCCCTGCCCCCAAGCCTGGCACCCACCCCTCAGCCTGGCACCCACCCCTCCTCCCCCTGGGCATGCACCCTGCTAGCCTGACACTCAGACATTCCTATCCCTGCCCCCAAGCCTGGCACCCACCCCTCAGCCTGGCACCCACCCCTCCTCCCCCCTGGGCATGCACCCTGCTAGCCTGACACTCAGACATTCCTATCCCTGCCCCCAAGCCTGGCACCCACCCCTCAGCCTGGCACCCACCCCTCCTCCCCCTGTGCATGCACCCTGCTAGCCTGACACTCAGACATTCCTATCCCTGCCCCCAAGCCTGGCACCCACCCCTCAGCCTGGCACCCACCCCTCCTCCCCCTGGGCATGCACCCTGCTAGCCTGACACTCAGACATTCCTATCCCTGCCCCCAAGCCTGGCACCCACCCCCTCAGCCTGGCACCCACCCCTCCTCCTCCTGGGCTCGCACCCTGCTAGCCTGACACTCAGACATTCCTATCCCTGCCCCCAAGCCTGGCACCCACCCCTCAGCCTGGCACCCACCCCTCCTCCCCCTGGGCTCGCACCCTGCAGCCTCCCTCCCTCCCTGACATTCTGCTATTCCTAGCCCCCCCCCCCCCCGCCGCCCCCCAGCTTTGCGCCCACTCTTCAGCGTGGCATTTACCCCTCCTCCCCCTCTGCATGCACCCTGCCTCCCTCCCGGCCAGCCCTTGCGCTATTCCCATCCCCCCAGCCTGGCACCACGCCACCCGGCCCCCTCCCCCCGTGCCACCCCCCACGCCCGGGCTGGCATCGCCCTGCCCCGGGCCGCCCCTCTGCCCGCGCCCCCCCCGCCCGGCCCTGCTGCATTGTGGTCCCTCCGGCAGCGCGCAGCGAAGATGGCTGAGAGGCAGAAGCACGACGGGCGGGTGAAGATCGGGCACTACGTGCTGGGGGACACCCTCGGCGTCGGCACCTTCGGCAAAGTCAAGAGCTGAGTATCGGGGCTGGGCGCGGCGGCCGCCGCCCGGGCAGGGGGCGCCGGGGAAACGGGATCGCCCGGCGCCGGGCTGGGAGCAGCCCTGGCTTCTGCTCCACGGGCTGGGCAGAGGCGAGCCCCCGCGGCCCCCCCAGCACGGCCCGCACCGGGCAACCCCCGGCTCCCTTCCCCAGGGCACGCACCGGGCAGCCCCCGCGTCCCCCCAGCACGGCCCGCACCGGGCAACCCCCGGCTCCCTTCCCCAGGGCACGCACCGGGCAGCCCCCGCGTCCCCCCAGCACGGCCCGCACCGGGCAACCCCCGGCTCCCTTCCCCAGGGCACGCACCGGGCAGCCCCCGCGTCCCCCCAGCACGGCCCGCACCGGCAGCCCCCGGCTCCCTTCCCCCCAGGGCACGCACCGGGCAGCCCCCGGCTCCCTTCCCCCCATGGGCACGAACCGGGCAGCCCCCGCGTCCCCCCAGCACGGCCCGCACCGGGCAACCCCTGGCTCCCTTCCCCAGGGCACGCACCGGGCAGCCCCCGGCTCCCTTCCCCAGGGCACGCACCGGGCAGCCCCCGCGTCCCCCCAGCACGGCCCGCACCGGCAGCCCCCGGCTCCCTTCCCCAGGGCACGCACCGGGCAGCCCCCGCGGCCCCCCCAGCACGGCCCGCACCGGCAGCCCCCGGCTCCCTTCCCCCCAGGGCACGCACCGGGCAGCCCCCGGCTCCCTTCCCCCCAGGGCACGCACCGGCAGCCCCCGGCTCCCTTCCCCCCAGGGCACGCACCGGGCAGCCCCCGCGGCCCCCCCAGCACGGCCCGCACCGGCAGCCCCTGTCTCCCTTCCCCAGGGCACGCACCGGGCAGCCCCCGCGGCCCCCCCAGCACGGCCCGCACCGGCAGCCCCCGGCTCCCTTCCCCCCAGGGCACGCACCGGGCAGCCCCCGGCTCCCTTCCCCCAGGGAGCGGCAACCCCACGTCCCCCCACACGGCCCGCACCGGGCAGCCCCGCTCCCTTCCCCCAGGCCCGCACCGGGCAGCCCCCACACCCCCCCAGCACGGCCCGCACCGGGCAGCCCCCGGCTCCCTTCCCCCAGGGCACGCACCGGGCAGCCCCCGGCTCCCTTCCCCAGGGCACGCACCGGGCAGCCCCCGCGGCCCCCCCAGCACGGCCCGCACCGGCAGCCCCCGGCTCCCTTCCCCAGGGCACGCACCGGGCAGCCCCCGCGCCCCCCCAGCACGGCCCGCACCGGCAGCCCCCGCTCCCTTCCCCAGGGCACGCACCGGGCAGCCCCCGCGGCCCCCCAGCACGGCCCGCACCGGCAGCCCCCGGCTCCCTTCCCCAGGGCACGCACCGGGCAGCCCCCGGCTCCCTTCCCCCCAGGGCACACACCGGGCAGCCCCCACGTCCCCCCAGCACGGCCCGCACCGGGCAGCCCCCGGCTCCCTTCCCCAGGGCACGCACCGGGCAGCCCCCGGCTCCCTTCCCCCAGGGCACGCACGGGCAGCCCCCACGCCCCCCAGCACGGCCCGCACCGGCACCCCGCCCCTTCCCCAGGGCCCCACCGGCAGCCCCCACACCCCCCAGCACGGCCCGCACCGGGCAGCCCCGCTCCCTTCCCCAGGGCACCACCGCAGCCCCCGCGGCCCCCCAGCACGGCCCGCACCGGCAACCCCCGGCCCCCTTCCCCAGGCACGCACCGGCAGCCCCCGCCCCTTCCCCCCAGGGCACGCACCGGGCAGCCCCCGGCTCTCTTCCCCCCAGGGCACGCACCGGGTAGCCCCCGGCTCCCTTCCCCCAGGGCACACACCGGGTAGCCCCCGGCTCCCTTCCCCCCAGGGCACGCACCGGGCAGCCCCCGGCTCCCTTCCCCCCAGGGCACGCACCGGGCAGCCCCCGCGGCCCCCCCAGCACGGCCCGCACCGGCAGCCCCCGGCTCCCTTCCCCAGGGCACGCACCGGGCAGCCCCCGGCTCCCTTCCCCAGGGCACGCACCGGGCAGCCCCCGGCTCTCTTCCCCCCAGGGCACGCACCGGGTAGCCCCCGGCTCCCTTCCCCCAGGGCACACACCGGGTAGCCCCCGGCTCCCTTCCCCCAGGGCACGCACCGGCAGCCCCCGGCTCCCTTCCCCCAGGGCACACACCGGGTAGCCCCCGGCTCCCTTCCCCCAGGGCACGCACCGGGCAGCCCCCACACCCCCCAGCACGGCCCGCACCGGCAGCCCCCGGCTCCCTTCCCCCAGGGCCCGCACCGGGCAGCCCCCGGCTCTCTTCCCCCCAGGGCACGCACCGGGCAACCCCCGGCTCCCTTCCCCCAGGGCACGCACCGGGCAACCCCCGGCTCCCTTCCCCCAGGGCACGCACCGGGCAGCCCCCACGTCCCCCCAGCACGGCCTGCACCAGGCAGCCCCCAGCTCTCTTCCCCCCAGGGCACGCACCGGGCAGCCCCCGGCTCCCTTCCCCCAGGGCACATACCGGGCAGCCCCCGCGCCCCCCCAGCACGGCCCGCACCGGCAGCCCCCGGCTCCCTTCCCCAGGGCACGCACCGGGCAGCCCCCGGCTCTCTTCCCCCCAGGGCACGCACCGGGCAGCCTCCGGCTCCCTTCCCCCCAGGGCACGCACCGGGCAGCCTCCGGCTCCCTTCCCCCCAGGGCACGCACCGGGGAGCCCCCGGCTCCCTTCCCCCCAGGGCACGCACCGAGCAGCCCCCTCCCTCTCTTCCCCCCAGGGCACGCACCGGGCAGCCCCCTCGCTCCCATCCCCCCAGGGCACACACCGGGCAGCCCCCTTGCTCCCTTCCCCAGGTCACGCACCAGGCAGCCCTCTCGCTCCCATCCCCGCAGGGCACGCACGGGCAGCCCCCGGCTCCCGTCCCCCAGGGCACACACCGGGCAGCCGCCGGCTCCCTTCCCCCCAGGGCAAGCGCCGGGCAGTCCCCGGCTCTCTTCCCCCAGGCACACACGGGGCAGCCCCCTCACTCCCTTCCCCAGGGCACGCACCGGGCAGTCCTCTGTGCATGCTCCATGCAGCCCCTGGCTCCCTTCCCCCAGGGCACCAGCCGTGCAGCCCCATCCCCTTGCCCCAGTGCGCGCCACCCCCCATTTCCTGCCCCGGCACAAGCACAGTGCAGTACCCCTCTTGCCACCAGTGCATGCACCGTTCATCCCTCCAGTTCCCTCCACTGGCCTGCACCCTCCCTCTCATGGATGCACTGGGTGAAGTCCTGTCCACTCCCTCTCCTCTCGCCTATGCTCTCTCCCCTCATGTATGCCCCTTTCCTATGTCCAGTGCACCAGGTGAGGCCTGTGCAATCTGTAGGCATGTACTAGGTGAGTCCCTCTTCCCTGTGTCACCCTCACCACTCCAGTGCCTGTACTCCTTCCCTCCCTCCGCTGTGCAGCCTTTCTCTACCCATCATAAACCAGGCCAGGCGGGCAGCGTCTGGAATCCACTTCCTCTGTGCATGCCCGGTACCCTCGCCACAGCCACAGCAGGGGACAGGCTTTCTTGTGGTCGGTTACTATAGCCAGAGACCACAGTGACTGGGATTCCTGTGCAGGGAATCAGACCTGGCAACCGAGGCTGGAAATATTTGCCATGGGCATGTTCAGGCAGCAGCACAATGTCAAGCCACATAGGTAGCAGGCTGAGGCAGCCAGGCATGCTGCAGAGAATTGGCTTGTGAAGCAGGGCGGTGATTATAGCTGAATGATACCCTCTCTGTTGTTCACCACACAAAAGAGCGTGGCTGTTAGGGTGACCAAATCTCCTGATTTCACAGGGACAGTCCCAATATTCGGGGCTTTTTCTTATATAAGTGCCTGTTACTCCCACCCCCTCCCAATTTTTCACACTTGCTCTCTGGTCACCCTAGTCCTAGTGGGTGTCAACTTGAAGAACTGAATGCTTCCCTCTTCACCTGGCGTCTGTCCTTCCTAAAGCTGGAGTGTCCCTGCTGCCTGTGGGGCTGGTGGAGAGTGGGGACGCAGGGTAATCCTGGAGAGAAGAGGGTAATTGGGTGTGGGCAGGAAGTTTCAGGGAGATTCAACCCCTGCTCTTCAATAACCACATGCAGCCATTTCTAACCCTGACCTTTACATTCCTCCTTTGCCTGTGGGTAAGAATAGAGAGTGTTCAAACGTTCGTTCCTCAGTATGGAGGAGATTGGGACCGAAATGGTGACTGAAGGGACCTGTCTTAGCATCTTTGCCCCTGTTGTGTGATATAGATCATCCTTGAGTTCCAGCTGTGTCACCACTGTAGAAGAAGTAGCAGGTGTCATGTTGGGGAATAGGAGCAAGAGCCAAAGATGATTTCATCTCCCTATCCCTAGACAGGGGCTTTGGGTTCAGAACTGTAGCAGAAGGGATGGGGGAGTCAGGGTTGATTTATTCATAGGGATTCCTACAGCAAAGGCTGATTGGTGATCAGTCAGAATTCACCTTGCCCTTTCAAGTCAGATACAAGCTTTCCCTCAGCGCTCTGAAAGACTTGTGAATAAAAGTACATGCACCTTCTTTTTCCCCCTATTAATTCCAACGTTAAGTTGAAGTTTGACTTTTCTCAGGTAACAGTGCCAAAGAAAAATACACAATTCATCTGCTCGCTAAGAAAAAAAAATGTTCCTCTTCACTCAAAGCCTGGCAAAAGGGGGCCATTTAAATCGTTAAACCATTACTGTACACAATCCTGACTTTCATACACAGCCAGCAGGTTCCAAAAGACGTGTAAATCAATGGAAACTATTGGGATTTAAGAACAGTTCTTTTCATGGAGTAGTGCCTTATACGTATAATTTTTCTCAGTATTTTGCCGAAACCACCATCCCCTTTTCTAGTGGGAGTTCGGTATATGCAAAGTGGATTTATGGTATCCAAACTGAGATTAAACTAGGTGTGCTCTTTGTGTGCTAAATTATAGCAATTTTGATTTAATGGGCACTAAAGTAGCCTGTAATCATTATGTTCTAACAAGAAACATGAAGGAAATTAGATATATTATGAGCTATTGATTCAA